ACCCATTGATTATGTAAACTGAACAGGTGGCTCAAGCAGTTTAAAAATAATGATTGTTCTGTGGCACTTTTGATTGTTTCAAACAGTTTAGCTTATCAAAAAACTTAAAGTAATTAATATATAACAAATTATACAGTCACTAAAAATCATGAAATAATTTATTTTTGTAAAAAAATACAACCGACTTCAAAATGCTCTAAAAAGAATGAAATAATTTCAATAAAGTAAACTTTTATATTAGTCAAGCTTACGTATTTCAAGTCGGCGCGGCTCTAACTGCAAATATGAATAAAATAAAAAATATTGAGAGTGTATTTTGAAAATCAATAAATAGTAGTTGGATAACATAAATATATAAAAAAACATACTGAACTGTTTTGTTTATATACCGGGTGTCCGAAAAATAACTCCCTAGTTTTGATAAACGATTGTTTATTGTAGAGAATACATATTCTTATATCTAATACATGAAATTAAAGAGGGTTTACTCAAGTTTATTTTGACATTAGTACACCTCGATATGTGACCCATTTGTAGCTCTACAGATATCTAACCGGTATTCGATCTCTCTCCAAGTGTTAGTTAACATATCAGGTGTCACTGATTCTACTGCAGCTACGATTCTTTGACGAAGATGGTCAATGTCACGTATCTTTTCTGAATAAACCAAGTTCTTAACGTAACCCCACAGGAAAAAATCCAGTGGTGTTATGTCTGGGCTACGCTCGTTTCCCGGCAAGATGGATGGGGAGAGCTGGCCCGATCGCGTGGCCTCCAAGAAGCCCAGACATAACACCACTGGATTTTTTCCTGTGGGGTTACGTTAAGAACTTGGTTTATTCAGAAAAGATACGTGACATTGACCATCTTCGTCAAAGAATCGTAGCTGCAGTAGAATCAGTGACACCTGATATGTTAACTAACACTTGGAGAGAGATCGAATACCGGTTAGATATCTGTAGAGCTACAAATGGGTCACATATCGAGGTGTACTAATGTCAAAATAAACTTGAGTAAACCCTCTTTAATTTCATGTATTAGATATAAGAATATGTATTCTCTACAATAAACAATCGTTTATCAAAACTAGGGAGTTATTTTTCGGACACCCGGTATATCAAAGGAAGTATTTTCTTGTATTTTATGTTTACTTCAGAATGATTGCATAATGAAAATAACACTCACTAATGTTCTATATGAATAGAAAAATAATTTATTTTGATATTATGATAGGGAAAAGAAGCTAGTTTAAAATTAAAACGTTACTTTTCCAAGTTAGAAATATCTAAATACATTATAATCTTTTTAAAGATACTCGTTAATATCACTATAAGATTATAATCACCTTTAGTTATAGATAGTCACCTGTAATGTGGACATCCTCTTTAAATTTTGTATCAAAAATCATCATAGAGCCGCGCCGACTTAAAATACGTGAGCTTGACTAATACAAAAGTTTACTTTATTGAAATTATTTCATTCTTTTTAGAGCATTTTGAAGTCGGTTGTATTTTTTTACAAAAATAAATTATTGTGAACAAAACTCCTCTGTTATTTCTGGATCGATTTTAACGTTTGAGGTGTCAAATAATTTGTCTCAATTCGTAGTTTTGCATAAAGGTTTTATAATTTAAAAACTCTTACCCTTAAGGGCACGAGACACTCTCAAAAGTCGCATTTTCCCCATAAGAATTACATTGAAATCAAATTTTAAAACAAAATCAGATGTAGGTATATAAAAAGAAACTCACCAGCTTTTGGGAGTAAATATTGATGTTTGTAATATTTAGGAGGTTATAAACAAATCTAAACAGTCAATCAGTTTTGTTGGAAGAACAGACAATTTCTTGAGTTTAAAGGAGAAATATTGAAAACAGGAGAATGAGACAAAAGGAAATCTTATACGTATGAGAAGAGTAGAGGAGAGGTCTGGTCGGGATCACATCATTTGTCCGAGTTTTCAACTGTCCGAGTTTATTAAAAATTACAAAATATTTGAAAAATCATTTGTCCGAGTTTTCAACTGTCCGAGTTTTGATAAATAACTAATAATAATTAGATAAATCAACTGTCCGAGTTTTCATTTGTCCGAGTTTTTAAATTATAAAAAAAATATCAAAATATCATTTGTCCGAGTTTTCAACTGTCCGAGTAGGGGCAACATTAAAATGTGACACTGCGTGCCGAGACTATAGCGTGTCTAAAGCGCCTGTTCAGAAGTCGATGTGAACATTGTGAACCCCTTCTGTGAAGGAGTCGGGCATCGTGCGAGCCGCGAGAGCCCCTCACGTCGAATTAAGAAAAATTATTTTATTTTTATATAAGACTAATTTTACAATTATTAATTATAAAATTAAACTCTTATCACCTAACACAACCAACCAAACTTGCTGATAATATAAAATACCCCCGCCATTATTATATTATCAGCAAGTTTGGTTGGTTGTGTTTGGTGATGACAGTTTAATTTTATAATTAAAAATTGTAAAATTAGTCTTATAATAAAAATAATATAATTTTTCTTAAGTCGACGTGAGGGCCTCTCGCGGCTCGCACAATGCCTGACTCCTTCACAGAAGGGGTTCACATCGACTTCTGAACAGGCTTTAGACACGCTAGTCTCGGCACGCATTGTCACATTTTGATGTTGCCCCTACTCGAACAGTTGAAAACTCGGACAAATGATATTTTGATATTTTTTTTATAATTTTAAAACTCGGACAAATGAAAACTCGGACAGTTGATTTAACGAAATATTATTATTATTTAAACCATACTCGGACAGTTGAAAACTCGGACAAATGATTTTTCAAATATTTTGTATTTTTTAACAAACTCGGACAAATGAACCTCACCCGTCTGGTCTCATAGTAAGGAATCCAGGTACACAATCACTTGGGGAGATGAATCATTTTTGCCAGTTATGCTAAGCAACTTTTTGAAAGTAAAAAAAAAAACCATGAAGAATATGGACACTTCATGTTGTCACAGTGGTAAAGTAAACCTACCTAAAGTCAGATCAAATAAAAACATGCAAGAAATGTTTACTGGTAATAGCTTTAAGTAGGGAAACATTTGTAAAAAACACTAAAAAATAAGGTCGGGTCCAAAAAATTCTAAAATATTTTTACAAGAAGCGTTTATTATTTCAAAGCGCTATTAAATAGCGTGAGTATTTCAATTAGTTACATAAGTATTTAGTATGGTCTTTAAAACTCATCGAAAATTATGACCGTTATTACTGTAGTTTTAAAATAACTTCTGTATAATACCGGTACTTGAAAATTGCTCGATTTCGAGCAACAGGTACACTAGTTTATTAATATATCTCTATATATAGATATATATATACATATATAAAAAATTGAACGAATGGTGTTTTTGGCCTCTGGGGACATCAAAATGAAAAAGTAAATTGGTCCTGGGCCTAGGTCTTTACCATGAGACCTACGGTAATAACTACTTCCCTATAGGGAAATTCGCTAAAAACAAAGATACACAGTTGAATGTTGTATCTAAAATCAATAGTAGATGTTTAAAACATTTCATACCAACTGTAATCTATATACTTATTTAATACGCAAGCAGGATTTTTGTGACAATTACTCCTCCAAAACTACTGAACCAATTGACATGTTTTTGGTGTCATTGGAAAGAGCGTAACGTTAAGTTGTGCAGGAAACTTTCTTTTTAGGTAAATAATTAGAGAGTGAGGCCCTGGGGCCCTTTAAAGTTTCGTATTTCTCCATAAGAATAACATGGGAAACAAACATTGTTTTGAAACTCCAGCTGTTGTCAGAAATTAAAGTGATAATTGGTCTCCATGGAAGAATGAAAAAATTCACAATGTTTACATTAGCTTTGACATTTAAATCTAAACAACCAGAACTGTCAAATGCCTATTTCACAATTTCAGACAGCTGATCCAAAAAAAAAATTAACTTTTCATCTTAAACTTTATGGTAGATTATTTTATTATAAATCTATTTCAATGATTATGAAACCGATTTTTACCGCTGCGAAGCAAAAATTGAAAGTGAGAAGAAGAACATATATGCTAATTGCAAACATGCAATGTGTAAATAATCTATGTTGTATTAAAAATGTGTATAGTTATGGATGTTGGTTTGTGTTTAATGATATAAGTTATTAATTATAGAATTTTTATTTTAAGGATTTGGCATATGAGTAAGCCATAAATAACACCATTTCAGAGTTCTGCCAGTTTTTGCCTAACCACTGTAGAGTTTAAAGTAGCCTACACCTTATTGTCTACTAAATTGGCTAAATAACTTAGGTACGGTACATTATAAAAGCTGGCAGCCTTTTTACGTTGACTTAAATTGTAAACTTACCTTTTCCCGTCCATGGGCAGTTTGATAGTTAAAAATTAACCTTTTAAACTGGAATAGCAATGTTATGTAAATTGTGAGTATTTCCATTAGTTAATAATCTTTCAGTCAACTTTTTTAAAATCATCGGAAATTATGACTGTTGTTAGTTTTAAACAAGTTATTTGTTTATAAATAACTCCTGTACTTCTTTGCAATTGCTCGATTTCGAGCAACATGTACACTAGTACATAAAAAAGTCCTTTTCAAACTCTTCCCCCGCTGCAAGCGCAAAGCACGGGCAAACTAATAAGCAAGCACGTTACAATATATATACGCCAACCCTGTACAAAGGATGGATACCGGTACTCTGTTAGTATTAGACCAAAGTTAGACCAATATTTTTTTATAATTTCAAATGACATTTCTTTTTACTTGTAGTCTGTTTAAAATTTAATTTAATGATAGTTTTAATTTTAATAATTTTCAGTAATATATTTCATGTATTTTTATTGGAGTTCCGAGGATGATGTTGGATGATGTTACCATTATTGTAATCCCTCTAACTGGTTCTACAACTTATCAAGTGTTCCAGTTCACTGTGATGTTTTTGTTTGTCTCAGTAGAGTGGGACAGAACATAATTATCTGTGCTGCTTATCAGTGTTGACTATGTTTGCTGCTAGCTCAGTTCAGTTTTAGCAAAACAATCAAGCTGTAAAGTAAGTCAAGTCCAGCAGAAGAAATGAGCTTTGGGATGAGTTTAAGGCTTTTAAGTAAAAAGGTAAATATTTCAACTAGATTTCATTATCTGAAATGTAAGTATAAGAACCTGTTGCCATTTGAATAACTCAAAAATACAAAATCCTATTTTATTCACTTGTAACTTAAAATCATTAATGTGACATGATTAATTGCTGAACAGTTGCAAATACCTGGTTGTTTTGAACTTACTCTTTAAATAATTGAATATTTCTTCTATGCAATTTTGACCCTGTCAATTATTAAGTTGGTTTATTGATTGAATAACAATTTTTATACTAATGTGTTTTAGTTTATTATCCAGCTTTCATAAAGTTGTTCATTGATAATGGATGAAATTGTCTTTTTTTTGTAGTGATTTAATATTTAATTTCATAAAAAATTATTACTAATCTGCAAAACTGTTTTTACTTAAGACTATTATTCATAAATATTTTGTAGATAGCTAAACTCAACCCTAAGTTAGCTACCTTACATAAGATCATATTGAAAAGTGAATATGAAGCATGATGCGGTTGATTTACTCCATTCATACTTGGCTTAAAATACCTACTTTGTTTGGTCGCCATTTCATAAAGTACCTATAAAGTATTAATTGAAAATAATACACAAGAAAAGCACCCAGATTGCTTGAAGGAAATTTCTGCTCAGTTATCTTTTTGTTGTATGATTACATAAGTGTTAAGTTCTTGTTTGATTATTACATAAGTCAGAAGGAAAATAACAAACATTTATAATTATTTGGCTGCCAAGCAAAACTGAATATTGTCATCAGTATAATAATACAATTATTGACTATATAAACAAATCAATAAAAAAATGTATGAATTTACTTTTTGTGTTCATTTTATATATAGAAAGTAATTAGCCGAACTCCGGGAAATGGTTCTATGGGTCAAAATAAAAAGAAAATCTAGAATAACATTTTTTCGTTAATCAGATATCTGCCATTGTGTTTTTTCCACATAAATATTTTAATCTTTAAGTTTTTCAACTGATCATTATGAAACTTGGCATGTATGTTAAGGTAAAACAGATCCACGTCATAAAAAAAATTATCTCAATCCATACAAATTTTAAAATGGCAGGCATTTTAGTTTTTATATTGAAATTGCTAAAAATTGGCTAATTTTATGACAAAATGTCAAGAACACTTTTATTTAGCATTTCAAAATTCCTATCAAAAGGCACCAACTTCAAAAATATTGAATAAAAAATTACTGAAATATCATGAGTTTTAGTTGTTAAATGAGGCAAACTGACTAGCTTAGCCTTGTTCAACATCATTTAACAACTCAGGCTATGATCACATTGGACGCACGCTTGAGCAAGTAATTTGGTGGCGCATGGGCGTAAGCGTGCGTCTGGAATCAAATTCTACTGAGATCAACAGAAATAAGTGGTGACTTGTTCATTGCTGCTCACACTGTCCGCCACCAGCAAGTGCACGCTTGTGTAAGTAATATAAAATTAAATGTTTTTAGGGTACTTTGGTATTTTAATTTACTTAGTAATATAAATAAATAAATAAATATATATATATATATAGGCCTATATATATATATATAAATGTATATATATATACTGTATAAATATATATATATATGAATTTTAACGGATGGTGTTTTTGGCCATTGGGGACCTCAAAACGAAAAAGTAAATCAGTCTCGGGTCTAGGTCCTACCATGAGACCTACAGTAATAGCTTATTCCCTAAATGGGAAATTCATTAAAAACCACCAAAGATATTGCATTACCGTGGACATTTTATGAAACTTCAAATGTCAATAAAATAAAATAAATAAAAAACATTTTGAAAAAAAATTAAAATAATTTGTAAAGTGCTTTTTTTGAAAACGTACGTTTTTAAATTTTCACTTCTATACTACGCAGTTCAGGGGATACAAAATGGAATTAAATTCTGGTTTATAATAATTAACTAGCAACTGCTTGCATTCAGTGTGAGTACATGGCTGTTCAAACAAGCTTGCCTACGCATGCCCCATCATAAATTACTTGTGCAAATCTGCGTCCAATGTGATCGTAGCCTAAAAATTGTGATATTTCAGTTATTTTCTATTCGGTCTTTTTGAAGTTGGAAAAAATTTGATTATTGATTTTCTCTTTATTTTGACCCATAGAACCATTTCCCGGAGTTTGGCTGTTTACTTAAGCCTAGTCCACACATGCAGACTTAGCCGGCCGACTGTCCGCCGACTGTGTGCGGACAGTCGGCGGACAGTTGACAGACAGTCGGCCGATCATCTGCCGACACTCTGTCATCACAGTTTCGGATACAAGTTTCCGATGTGTTTTGCGTCCTCACTAGCCAGCCAGTGTTTCTGTGTTTGTTGGTATGACAACCGAGGAGGACGTAATTATATCCTGTGCGGGCTTCATACTTCTGAACCATGGGGCTAATGAATGAAGAGACGATGATGACCCAACATTTTCTCGAGCAAGGTTGGTACTATTGGTCACAATCTTCTAATAGACCTTCAGATTAGGTGAAGGATTTAGGAACTTTTCTTAGGCTTTGTTCGGCCTAAGATTTGAAACTTAAAGAGATGAACAATTAAATAAAATGTCATATAATAATACAAATTATTGAAATCTAATTCCAAAACTTTCAAGAAATTTAATCCAGCTCTTTTAATAGGTACCGTCTAAAAATCGTAATATTACCGCTTTGCAGTCCAACTAAATGGGCTGAATGTTGAACACCTTCGGCTTGTATCCAGTCTTCTGTCTCCAGACACGTCCACACATGCAGACTTGAGACAAAAGTTTTTTATCTCAGTCTCCGTGTTACCCATTCGAATGGGAAACAGAAAACACTTTATTTTGTCTTCAGAAACACAGAAATTTCTCAGCCGACTAACTGGAGACATCGCTGGATACAAATGGCAACACTACGGAGACAGTCGGCCGACAATGTTTCCACAGACAAATCGCCATATGTGGAAGAGGCTTTACGGGACACTCTGCATATTCTATTAGGTACAGTATAAAATGTTTAGGTCAAGCCACATAATAATTACCAAATCTCCTTGGCCCAGGTATGCAAGGAGCTGAGATCAGTTGGGAGGTCCGAGGTTCGAGCCCTCAGCTACTCTACCCCTCGCCACTGTGAGACGGGGCTCCCTCCCCCCCTCACACAGTTCACAGATGAGGAGGTTATGATGAAAGAATCAGGTACACCTGCCTTTTGAATAGAAAATTATTGAACTTCCTACTTGTTTATTTACTATGAACCATAATTGTATAATAAATCATCTGCGTTGTTAATTTTGAAATTTAAAATATTGCTAGTTGTTTTATTGATTGTTGGCGGGGCTGTATTTAGTTGGGTTTATGGTACAGCATTGACGAAAATCATAACCAATTATTAAAATGTGATGTCAGGAATAATCAAAAAATATGATTCAAAGCCACAAGAGGCTTTAATCAACAAATTTTAAAAATTGGGCGATCAAATCATGTCGAAAAATATGAATGATCATATCATGGCAAAAATAAATATTTGATGATAATTATTGATCCCTTTGAAGGTTTTAAACTAATTTTTTTGAGATAAGTTGGAACAAAACTGTAATCAAAAGCTTGTTTACCAAAACATTCTTGGGAAGAAAAGTGCATGAGAGTATCAAAAAGTTTGCTTTTGCAATAGATCTTGGGTATACACAGATCGAGGGGTGTCTAATCATGTTTACACTGTGCAAGTTGAAATTAGAAATACTACAATAACTTATAAACAAAGTAGGAACATACCAACTCGTCTTTGACTCGCTCTTGTGTTCAATCCATGTAAGCCAGGCTTACATGGCCTTTTTAAATATTATATGTTAGTGTTACCATTGACTATACACAAGTTACCCATCGTGCGTTGCTGTGCTTAACAACTATTATTTTAAAGTGTAATCTGTGGTTTACGATAAATTCAAAAAAATATACCAAGAACAAAAATATAATATTTTATATTTACTTGAATGCCGGTGCATGATTAATGTTTTTTCTTTTATCATTAGGTGTATTATCAAGTTTTAGGCCTACCAATTCTAGAGCGTGCAACATACAGTGTCCGTGTGAAAAGCATGCATTTTCTTAATTTAAACTGGCGATTAGGGATGCCCTGGTGTCTTAATGGTGATTGCGATAGCTGGACGCAGAGGAAATTGTAGCTGCTTGAATTCAAAGGATAATTTGGAAGAAATCGTTGGTATTCTTGGGATTAAAAGTATTTTTCTTAGGGTTGCCATAATCCCGGATTTCCCCGGAGATTACCGGATTTTTAGGTTCAAAATTTAGTTCCAGGGGATTTCTGCAAATAGTGAGAAATCTCCTCTTTTTTTACTCTCTATTATTTAAAATACATTTTATAACGGCACTTTTGGAATAAAATAAATGTTTGTGTTTGCAAATATTGTTATGCAATGACTGAAAAATGCAACTCTTGTACTCTACTACTGTTTTTTTTATTCCTTGTTAGTTTCACTTTGGCCAGCAACGTCCTTAGTTTATCGTCTGTTTCATTGCTCCCAGTCCTTTAAATCGCGTCTGCCGGCCAGTCCGAAATCCGAAAGTATCCGTGTTCACTACCAAAGCCGAACCAAATCTAGCAGACAGAGAGCTTTTTGTTTACGTTATTTGTTATTTTTAGTGGGATGTAACAAACAAGATGCAAATTTTATTGCTTACCATATTTGAATATTGACATTGTAGCACAAATATTGAACAGAAACAGTATGGATTAATTAACAGAAACAAATGACGTCACTGACCCCAATGTCAATGAGCCTACTAATAGCCAGTACCGGTAACAACTGGTTTGGACGTTTTTTGATCAGTACCGGTAACAACTGGTTTGGACGTTTTTTGATAGTTCCATTTAAATATTTAAAAAAACATGTTTACTTTCGGGCCTGTGACATATTTCTTTCATCTGTATGACCCATACCGTTTCTGTTATAATATTTGTGCTATGTAGGTATACAATTTTGCTAGCCCCTATACTTTTTATTTACTGGAGTGGAGGCCGCCAGCCAAAATCTCCTCTTTTTTACAAATTACCATATGGCAATCCTAATTATTCTCCTTTGAACTGACCACTGATGATTGTTGCTTCAATCAAGTTTCGTATCCTTTTTTATATCGTCAGTCTGGTTTTGGTTGCACAGCTTGGGTGGATTTAAGTTTTGCATTAGTATTATTGGAGTTCCTTATTTTAATGACAGAAAGTGTGGTGGCATTCCTGGTGGCTTTGTTGAGTTTAGAAATTCAATGGGATGGTTGACAGCTTGCTCCTCATCCATTACACTGTGTCAATTGATCTATATCCTACCACAGATAATAGAACACCATTGGTTCCTAAGTCTATGATTCTACTAACTCTCCCAGCAATTTTAATTGAATTTGTTGATTTAGCTTGTTAACATCATCATTTTTAGGGGTCAAAATTGCATGTTCGCAAAGCCACTCTAGATCTTTAAAATTTTTTTATAAACCTGGGAATGAATTTTCTATAACAGATTGAATATTTGGTTGCATTTTACAGAAGTTTGAAGAAAACAAAATCTCTTTTGTGGTTTGGTCTATTTAAATTTTTCCATGCCCAATGCCCAATAGTTGTTTAGAAAATTATTCTGCAACTGTTTCTTTCAGTAAATGCACAGAGATGTTCGTTGAAACAGTAATTTTTCAACATAGTACCATAAATAAGATGCTTATATGCATGGGTTAAGCTTGTCAGCAAGGGTTCATAGTACATGAAAATATGCCACTAAAGGTAGACCAACATCTTAATAGTTCAGTCAAAATATATAAATTAATGACCAAACCTCAAAAAAATTTCCGAAAGTTTTTTCTAGGTATTCACATATTTCTAGGCACTTAGGGAAGATTATACCAAAAGTCCCCATGAATATGAGGCAAGCTCTAGTGGCTATTAGCAAAAACAGGGCCCATTATTTTGTTTTTGAATAAAATCTCGAGAACCGTTTGTTGGAGCTAAAAGTGACCATATACCAAATAAAGGATTATTAAATGTCCATCAAAAATGATATTTACACTTTTATTTTATTTATTATTTATTTATTTATTTATTTTATTTATTATTATTTAGTCACTAACAAGACTACAAGATCGCGCCACTCATCCTACACTCATCTTCATTCATACTTGGCTTAAAATACCTACTATGTATGGTCGCCATTTCATTGAACAGTATTAACAGTATTATTCCTATTGGTTACCAAGTTATATCGCACTAAAATACGGCGTTTTTTCTCAAACTGTCTGTACTTTAGTTTGCACCATTGTTCGTACCCCGACAGTTCTTACTATACACTCTTATTAACTTTATAATTATTACTAACCCTCTGGGATGGATCCCTTTTGATGGATCTGCATATTTAATAGTGGAGCATTTAAAAGCTGCTGAATGTACAGGTGTGCTGAAATTGTGGTTTATTTGGACCAATCCAAAAGTAAGATAGTTTTCTGTACTCTATTCTGAGGTAACAGAGTGGCACTATATTTAAAATCATGACTAATCATGCAGAATGCTGTGATTATTCACAACTACAAAACAGAAGGTGAAAGTAAACATCTGCTTTTAAATTATATTTATTTGTAAACATTGTAGTTCCAAAATTATGACATTAGACCCCTTAAAACCCTCTGGGACGGAGTCCTTTTGACGGATCTACACCAAACTTCACACAAACCATCCTAGAATAATGCCTAAAAGTTTCATTACAATCTGTCGAGCGGTTTTGGAGGCCATAGGCAACATACATATCGATTATCTATACACACTTCCTCTTTTATAGATTTAGATGAATAAATATACCTACTGTAGGTAGGATAAAAGTTTGCTTTAGAAATATAATCAGTTCGATATTATTTGTTTTTGTTACTATATTTATCATTATTTAAGGTTCAGTTGAGGTAAGTGCCTTACATAAATTTACTTTACCTAACCTGCCATGTTAAACTTCCCTATCCCAAGCGTGATGTATACAACTTCTTTACTTCACTAGTGAACTTAAAAACTACTCAACTAAAACTCAACTCAACTACAACTCAACTCAAAAACTCAACAAAAAAAACTCAACTCAACTTAAAAAATTACAAGCTGCTATACCCGTGCTTTGCAACGGAAAGAACATGTGACCTAGAGAGCTATTAAAGTGGTGCTGATGTTTTAAAATACAGCAACTCTATGATTTAGTTTGAAAATATAAACTGATTTAAAAGCGTAAACCTACTTACTTTCAAACCCCTACTTTTGATGTTAATAGATCCTTTAGAATACGACAACATACCTTAGTGTAGCAATAGCATCAATTATTGCTTCATATTGATGCTTTATGAATAACATGTTTTACCATTTTCTTCAATTTTATTCAAGCCTCTTCACATGTAGCATACTATAGGCTATAAATAAATAAATGAAACTTTGAGCAATACTTTACAAAACGTATACAACCTCACTTTAAAACCAAACATAGCCCTCCTCGATCTACATAAAGCGTCACAAACATCTTATTCAAGTAAATAAACAAACACCAGTTCATTGTACTGACCAGCTGTTTCATTAACTAAATTAAATTAAATCATGTAAACATTGGAAGTATGCCAGGCGTAGCCCTTTGGAAATCAGCCTGTGGGGCAGAGCCCTGAGGAAATCCGTCCATATCAATACTTTTTGGCAAATCTACACACTCTAAGCTTCATTTTGGTGTGCCATATGCCTATATTTTTATTCGGTAAATGACCTTAACTTTTTACATAAAATTTGATTGTATCACTTTAATAATATAATAGATACCTCTATGGAGCCAACGTTTAAAGCTAGAAATCAGCTGTGCACTTGAATTTTATTGTTATGCTTTAAAGAATTTTCCTAACCTATAGCTTTTGTTTGTAAAAGAACGTAACTGTTACAAGATGAGTGAAATGGATAATGAAAAATATTGTACCCAACCCCCTGTATATTGTCGGGTCAGGTAAAATCTTGTATGTTACAGTTACGCAAGAGCGTGTTTAAATCACTTAGGTGAATTATGCTACTCGCTTCCGCTCGTTGCACAACATTCACCTGCTTGATGTAAAAACGCTCTTACTACTCTTGTAAGGTAAATAGCTATTACCCAACCCGCCATGTTAAACTTCCCTACCCCAAGCGTGATGTAAACAACTTCTTTACTTCACTCGGTGAAGTAAGGAAACCCATTCAAATAACATTGAGTGCTCAACTTAATAAAATATACCTGTAATCAATAAAAACAGTTCACTTAAAAACAAACCAGTTTATATATTGTGTAGATTAACTTATTTACCCCGTCCTGTATATTGTGGGGACATGAAACATATTGTACCCCCTGTATATTGTCGGGTTGGGTAAAATCTTGTACGTTACATGTTACGCAAGAGCATGTTTACATCACTTAGGTGAATTATGCAACTCGCTTCACTTGATTGAATTAAGTAATTAAGTAAACTTAAATAAAATCAAATTAAGTAAACTCAAGTAATAAGATAGATAGAATCTTATTATACCGTAAATAATTTCAAACATTCTTGTCCGTTTCAGACACAAGTATGTCCTCATTTCATACTTTTAATCCTGATACTTTGCTTATAGTTGCCAAACTAGCAAATGAAGTGATTGCTCCTCTCGTCAAAAAGATGGATGATGATCATAAATTTGATCCGAAAGTAGTGGAAGCTCTATTTGAAAATGGGGTAAGTCCCATCCTACACAGCTGTTGGAAAATAGAATTTATCCATAAAACATTCTAACAGTTAACCCATTGGCGCCGACTTACGAGCGTTACTCGTACGGCCGCTGCAGGCCCGGAGGCCGACTTACGAGAGCCGCTCGTGTCACTGCTAGGCAGCGCCATCTTTTATTTAGTTATTATTATTTTTCGCCCTTTTTGTTTCTTCTTACTATTATAATGTTTATTACTATCTTGCTTCTTGATTTGCGTATTTACACATTTATTTTAGCGAATAACAAACAATTTTGTGTTGCCATGGAAACCAAATATCACCAAAAATCAGCTGCGGTAAGGTAAACAAACAATTTTTTTTTAATGTTACTACTTATAAAAGTACACAACTTTTGATTTTTCTACGTAGGGAATCGATTGACCTTTATAATAGTAGTGTTATTTGGTGTCTGGATTAATCTTGGAATTTGTATATCAAGTTTACTTTCTAAATATTGTTTTTAAAATTTTTATTTTTATAATCTTTATATTATATATTTTTTTTGTTTAGAACTTTGACTATCCAATTAATACTTTTCTGTAGACAATTTTACTGTGAACAAAATGGTGAAAGAATTATTAATTTATTACCTAAGGTTTTCTTTCTATAGCAGTTAGAGTAAAAGTCTACAAATTCGGTAAAATTAATTGCCGCCAGAGGGTGCTGCAGGTAGCGGATTAATTCCTTCCCCAATGGGTTAAACAGCCTCTAGTAAGATATAGGCATTTCGATTTTTAAGTTTATTCTATGTATTTTGCATGTAGCATATATATTTTAAAAAACATGTTTTACATTTTACTTTAGTCAACATTAGCAAACATTATTGATACAAGAACGGAAAGTAAATAGAATCAATAATCAAGAGTTTTATTGCCGTTGCATTTTACAAGAAATAGACATAGTCAACAGAAATAAAAACTAAAACTATAAAAACGATAATAAATTCAATAAGTAAACTTTTCATTATCATTACAGCATTTAAAATTTTTTTAAAGAATATTCATGTGTTGCCGCCTATAAATACATAAACTTGTATTTCTTACTGTTGTTTTTTCTTTTAACAACACTTACTTGTGGCATGAACCTGTGTCGTAACACTCACTAAGAAGTTACTATAATCTCAAATTAATTAAATAAAGACCATCTCGTGCTGAAATGGCAGTGCTTTTCAGGAGTAATCTTCATTATTTACCATTACTAGTATCAATTCCCTAATTCCCAATTATTAATACAAATCCCTATAGAATAAATGTATTATGTACCTACTTTAATTTTTCTGTCTTTCTTTACCTGCTTTTGAGTCATACAAAAAAACCTTTACATTCTTATAGGATTACTATAAAACACAAAACTACTAAAGTATTTTCATTATCTCCACAAAATGTAACAATACAGAGAAAATATATGTTTTGTCAAAACCAATGTACCTAAATAGAGCTATATTCTTTCAATATACCTCATAACTTGTGATTTTTGTTTGCAGTTGATGGGGCTTGAAGTTCCGACGGAATATGAGGGTACAGGAACTGGTTTTCTTGCATCAATGCTTGTGGTTGAAGAACTGGCAAAAGTAGATCCTTCAGTCAGTGCTTTAGTTGACATCCACAATACATTAGTAAATGCACTGATTATTAAAGTTGGATCTGAGGAGCAGAAGAAGAAGTATTTACCCTTATTGTCAAGGAAATATGTGAGTCTATAATTGTAAACATATTTTATCACAACTAGCTTAGTACCGGTAAACAAAGTCAAATTAAAGACATATCCCACTTACCTTGATGGTTAAAACTGTAAAAGAATTCTAATTTATGCAATAAAAGTACATGAGGAAGATTAAATTCTTAAAAAAAAATCGTTTTTGACCTCTTTTTCCAAGTATGAGTATTTTTTTAAATCTTTTCCAAAGTATGATTTCAAATATCCAAAAGATCTGGTGTCTGTTTGTTTATTAAACACAGTCTACAAAGGAATACATTTGAGGGAGGAACTTTTTTTACATGTGACTTTGATGAGGACTAAGCAACAAACTGTATATCTTTTTGTAATAATTTAGCTTTTAATTTAAACTGTTGTGAGCAAAGTAATAACGGGTTGTGCTTGTACAAGGTGGCGCAGATAGATCGGATGGTTTTGAAGTGTACTGTACGTCTGGAGGGGGAAGCCAGGTGTTTGGCGGTATTCGTCCTATGGTGGGGGGGATGGGAAGTTTCAGTTGCAGTCAGTCACGATGGCTACATGGTCCGTTGAGCATCGTGTTTTCGCAGTGGAAGAGTTTATACGCAATAACAAATCAATTGTTGCTGACGCGTGCCTTTTCATCGGCGTTTCAACATCCCACCTAGCGGTAGTGTTCCCAAGCGAGATACAATATTGAGTTGGGTATGGTTGGGTGCATAATTTCTGCACTACTGGTTCATGTGCTGCAAAATGGACGCCTAGACCTCGAACCGTAAGAACGCCTGAGAACGTGGAGCAGTCTAGAGAATTCTAATTTATGCAATAAAAGTACATGAGGAAGATTAAATTCTTAAAAAAAAATCGTTTTTGACCTCTTTTTCCAAGTATGAGTATTTTTTTAAATCTTTTCCAAAGTATGATTTCAAATATCCAAAAGATCTGGTGTCTGTTTGTTTATTAAACACAGTCTACAAAGGAATACATTTGAGGGAGGAACTTTTTTTACATGTGACTTTGATGAGGACTAAGCAACAAACTGTATATCTTTTTGTAATAATTTAGCTTTTAATTTAAACTGTTGTGAGCAAAGTAATAACGGGTTGTGCTTGTACAAGGTGGCGCAGATAGATCGGATGGTTTTGAAGTGTACTGTACGTCTGGAGGGGGAAGCCAGGTGTTTGGCGGTATTCGTCCTATGGTGGGGGGGATGGGAAGTTTCAGTTGCAGTCAGTCACGATGGCTACATGGTCCGTTGAGCATCGTGTTTTCGCAGTGGAAGAGTTTATACGCAATAACAAATCAATTGTTGCTGACGCGTGCCTTTTCATCGGCGTTTCAACATCCCACCTAGCGGTAGTGTTCCCAAGCGAGATACAATATTGAGTTGGGTATGGTTGGGTGCATAATTTCTGCACTACTGGTTCATGTGCTGCAAAATGGACGCCTAGACCTCGAACCGTAAGAACGCCTGAGAACGTGGAGCGTGTGAGACGCAATGTCAATACGAGCCCATGTCGACCAACAAGAAGTCATCCTCAAGCTCTTGGAATGTCACGTCGGAGCCTTCAAGGATTCTTAACATGTGTTGTTCCTCAGGGGTCGATACTGGGCCGTTCATAATCTATGTTAATGACCTACCTCATGTCTCAAATATGGAACTCTTTCAGTATGCCGCCGATACAATGGTGCTATGTACGGCCCCCAGTATCGACTCCCTGCGGCACACACTCGACAGGGAGGTACAAGCTCTCAGAGACTGGTTCCAGGCGAATGGGTTGGTTATGAATGATGATAAAACTCAGCTTATAGAGTTTAGTTCTAATAATAATCAATATAAAACAGATAAAATTACATCAAAATCTAAATTGCCACTGCAGCAAAATATGAATTTTTTAGGTATTACTGTTAATGAAAATCTTAACTGGAAATCACAAGTTGTTAATTTGATCAAACGATTAAACCGCTGTATCTTCTCTCTTCGCACAATCAGACAAGCTGTTAACTTGAAGACTCAGCTTAGTTATCATGCTTATTTTTTTTCAATAATGACATATGGTATTCTGGTTTGGGGAAACTTATGCCAAACTTATGCCACTCCAACAAAATATTCAAACTTCAACAAAAAGCAATTAGAATTAATGGGCGAGTTCCTCGTAGAACTCCTTTTAAAACTATTTTTCAAACATTTTCAGTTTTAACATTTTATGATCACTATATTTTAGAAATTTCAAATTGGGTTAAAGACAATCTGTCCTCAATCATGACCCAACCCTTTCATTCCCATCACACTAGATTTAAGAGTTATATTAACCCTGAAACCCATAGATTAGATAAATTTCATTCGTCTCTTCAATAGGCCCACAAGTTTCAAATAAGTTACTGCTCCACATAAAAAATAAAAAATATTGATAGTAATACACAGTTCAGATCCCCCCTGAAGACCTGGTTAAAAACAAAAATTTTTTCTATTGAATGTTATTTAAATAAGTTAGATTAATAATTTAGTAAGACATTTTTTGTTATTTCTTAGTTTTAGTTATTATCCTGTATATGACACTATGTCCTGTTAAATGATGTAATTACTGTACATGTAATGAATAAATTAAAAATAAATATATATATATTAAACAAAGAACTGAAATTCCACCCCTATAAAATCATGGTGGTGCAGAAGATTCTCCCAAAAGACCATCTTCAAAGGCTTCAGTTTAGCCAACGGATGTTGGAGTTATTAGAAGATGAAAACCTGATTATCATGATGTCTGATGAGGCTCACTTTCACGTTAACGGCTATGTCAACAAGCAAAATTTCCATTACTGGGCCGACACTAACCCAAGAGACCTACTCCAACGGCCTCCATAGTGACGAAGTGACGGTATGGTGTGGGGTTTCTAAGGTAGGGATAATTGGGCCTTACTTTTTTGAAAATGAAAGGGAGGGGTTACTGTTAGTTTGCAGCGTTATGTGAACATGATTGAAGAATTTCTTCTCCCACAACTTAAAGAGAACAATTACGACATGGACAATATGTGGTTCCAACAAGACGGGGCAACTGCACATACCGCTAGGATCTATCTATATATTAATAGGCAAGCATGTTTCTTTAAAACCTTTTTTCTCAGCTCGTGTGCATCGCAGGGAAAATCTACGCATACTGTTGGAAAGATATTTTCCTGTAGATGTGCAGAATGCTTTTAAAAATTAAAATAGGCTAACAAATTAGAACAAAAAATGAATTTGAAAACTCCAAAAAATTAACATGGACCATATGGGTTGCCATGATGGTGACGAAATAACAACAAAATGTAAACAGAAAATCAAAACAAATGGAAGAAATTCCAATCACATGTTTTATTTACAGTGTGGGGAGAAAATAGAGAAGTCTGTACATTAATTATTTTTGGTTGAGTTTCGACCACAGGACGACCACTAGTATAAATAAATACGCGCTCTGTTCCCTGGCTGTTTGATTTCCCATAATGGAGATTTCCATTGGCCCCCTCGCTCACCGGACCTCATGGTATGTGACTTTTTCTTATGGGGCTATTTAAAAGCAAGGGTCTACATTAACAAACCACGGACCATTCAGAAGTTGAAGGCTTCAATTCACAACAAAATCACATCAATTCCTGGTGATGTGCTTGAGCGGGCAATGGGGAACCTTAAGGACCAACTCCAAGAATGCGTCGCTCGAGAAGGAGGGCATTTGATGGATGTAATTTATAAAAACTAACTTCACACATTTTTTTTTAATAAACTACACGTTTTGCACTTTTATTTCAATCCAATACCTTTAAAATTGACAGTTTGACAAGTATGTTAAAAGTTAAAACCACCCGATCCATGTGCGCCACCCTGTATAAAAAAAAACAAACAAAAACTACAAACTTTTTAACTCTTACCGTCTCCCCATAAAGCCGACACTCAAAATGGTGTAGTTTTTTACCACTTTTGTTTGGAGTCTAAAGTTAACTTTTACTTTGAATGTTGGGGTTTGGTTGTTTTTGGTTAATTGCTCCATACTGACCACCACTTTGCTATCAAATAGTAATGGTTATTATTGATTACCACAGCATTGGTACACATTTCATATCATACCTGCTGGTAGAAGTAATTAATTATAAGTGAATGTATTCAGTTTAAAATGTTCTAACCAGATTTTAAAAATATGAGACTTTTTATTTCTGCAAATATAACAGGATCAGGCTGACTGGCGTGAGTTATTGCAATACAGTAACACCATACCACCACCCAAACAGAGCTTAAACACATACACAGCTAAAAATACTTAACACAATTATGAAACACAACTGGAATGAGATTTGTTTGGACCCTGTTATAAACCAAACCCTCTTTTCTCTTTGGACTAAAAATTAATATTTGAGAGAGTGGCACCTATGTTCTATCTACTTTTATCTTTATATGTGTGATAATTTTAGCCTGGCAGTTTCTGTCTCTCCGAGCCAACCTCTGGGTCAGATGCATTTGCATTAAAAACTGTTGCCAAAAAAGATGGAAGCGATTACCTTATTACTGGATCAAAAATGTGGATATCAAACTCTGATCTCGCTGGAGTTTTTCTTGTGTTTGCTAACGCCAATCCTGCTGTAGTGAGTATTATGTTACCTTAAATATTGGTCCTTCTATTCCAATAAAAAACTGTTCTCAACATATATTGGTTTTTTAGATTTTGTAAAAATAACTTTTTCTAAAATAACTTTTTTTTTATACAAAAAGGTCAGTAAAACCATGATGACCTTTAGATACTAACACACGGACCCACATGAACTTCGGAGTTTACAATCGAGACTGAACTTTCCTTGGTTTTTATCTTAATCTTATTGTAAAGTCAACATAGACCATTAAAATAAGATTGAAAAAATTAGTGTTTTGCTTAAAAATATAGTTTAAAGTAACTCTACCTGTAAAATCTCGCAGAGTTCATTAACTGTAGTGTTAGGCTACTATCTTTTTTAGCGAATTTCCTTAGGGAAGTAGCTATTACCGTAGGTGGCACAGTAAGACCTAGGCCCGGGACCGATTTACTTTTTCATTTTGATGTCCCCAGAGGCCAGAAACACCATTCGTTCAAATTTATATATATATACTGTATATATATCCATGAACTCGATAACTTGAGTATTTTTTTATGAAATTTGGTTTAAAGGTACAACCAAACTACACTACTACCTACTACTACTGGTTTAAAGGGCAGGATAAACTTGAATGAGATTGCGAACTAGCATGATCGGAACATGGGAACGGGGCTTTACGGGGGGTTTAATGGGGTAAAAATTTATTTTTCTCATCTTTGGCCCTCAAAACACAATGTTTCTTAATTTCTCTCTAGACCTTTTTAAAGAGCTTAAAGAACAAATAATTGAGTATATCAAATGCATTTTTGTACGGTTATTGGTAACGGAGAAAATTTAAAAAAATTTAAATTAAGATACCCCCGCTGCAGCAAACCTGCAGACTAAGCGAATTTCCATTTGCCTGATTGGATTTACACTAAAATGTCTCCTTAAAAATATCACATTTATTCCCTATTTAAATAGAATCAGTTTAACACATACTTAGGTTTGCTGCAACAGGGGGGTAAAAGTCTTTTTTTATGTAAATTGTTAATAGTTAGAAAGAAATAAAAACATTTTCCAAATTCGGGCAAAATATGTTAAAAACAAGCAAACTACCTACAACAGTTTACTTATTCTCCATAAGAATAACATGAGAATTTTAAATTTAAAATTTTTTGGAATTTTCTCCGTAACCATTAGGCGCATTATAACGCTTCAATATACTAAATTATTTGTTTTTTAAGATCTACAAAATTGTTTGAAAAGTAATTGCAAAATTTTATGTTTTTTGGGTCAAAAATGGGAAAAACCCATTTTTACCCCATAAAAGCCCCCATAAATCCCCGTTCCCATGGTCCGATCATGCTGGTTCGCGAACTCGTTTGAATAAACGTAGGTTTACACGTTTGTACCAAATTTTATCATAATCGGATTATTTTTGCTCGAGTTATCGCGCTAACGGACACACACATATATATATATAGGTATATATAAATATATCTCTATATCTATAAAAGAGGAACTATGTATGTATGTGTGTGTGTGTATATACGTTATGGACTCCGAAACCGCTCGACAGAGTGTAATGAAACTTTCAGGCATTATTAAGCATCTTTCAAGGATGGTTCGAGTGAAGTTTGGTGCAGATCCGTCAAAAGGGCTCAGCCCCAAAGGGTTTTAAGTGGGCCAATGTCAGACTTTTTGATCTACAATGTTTAAAAATAAATATAATTTAAAAGCAGATGTTTACTTTCACCAACTGTTTTGTAGGTTTGAATAATCACAACATTCTGTATTAGCATTAGTCATGATTTGAAATAGTGCCACAGTGTTTCTACAGATTGCAGAACAGAAAACTATTTTACTTTTGAATAAGTCCAAATGTATTAAACCCCAATCGCAGCACACCTGTGCACTTAACAACGTTTAAATTCTCTAATGTTAAATATTAAAACATAAAAACCATTATCAAAGTACTGTATTATAAACAATAAAAGGTATGACTTTTTTAAATTTATGACAACGGCTAATTTGCAACCAAAAGGTGAGTGAGCGTAGCGAACGAACATCAAACTGGAGGCGAGTTGGCGTAGCGAACGAGCTAACCTGAAAACAAGTGAGCGCAGCGAACGATTTCCAACCTTAAGGTGAGTGAGCGTAGCGAACGAACTTCAACCAGGACGTGATTGAGCCATGCGAATACTTATGAAGTTAAGCGGGGCAAAGCCCGCGGGTACAGCTAGTATATATATAAATTTGAACGGATGGTGTTTTTGGCTTCTAGGGACCTCAAAACAAACAAAAAATCGGTCCCGGGTCCAGGTCTTACCATGAGTACTACGGTAATAGCTTACTCCCTATATGGGAAATTCGCTAATATTCCCTATATGGGAAATTCGCTAAAATCCCATGTTATTCTTATAGAGAATGTTTATGGATATATTTTTTTGATCAAACTTGGCAAATTTATTTATTTTGTACTAAGCTATTAATGTTTTACTAAAAACACACTTTATTAGTTTTCTTGCAGCAGCAAACCTAGGTACTTGTTAAACCTAAAATTATTTAAATAGAATTGAAAATCAAATCAGACAAATGGAAATTCGCTTAGTCGCAGGGCCGCGTTAAGGGTCAGTGGCGCCCTGGGCAAACCCAAAAGCAGCGCCCCCTTATATATATCAGCAGTGTAGGGAGAGGAAGAGGGAAGGGGGGTTGGCTCATCAGTTCGCCTAAATTCACAGCTGGTGGGTTGGGGATTGGGATGAGTGCAATGAACTTGACAGTAGTTGCTATGCGAATGCCTCTTGTCCTGCGCCAATAGCTTATTGCACTACGCAGTGATTTGATTACTGTTCAGTACAGTACAGTGTGCTGAGTATGTTTTTCCATGGTTCCTACTATAGGCCCGTGCATATTATATATAGGCTACATTAGCGTGTTTTTTACCAGTTTTGTTTCGAGAGGGAGTTTTCAATTCCGTATCAATGGAAATACTGGTTAATACATTTCACTTTCTTTAAAACTACTTCTTGATTTTGTTTTCTTTGAGCCAACAGCTTGCGGCTCTCGGCTCCACTAGATTTTTATGCATTTTTCACTTTTTATAGGCCTACTTACTCGTATCAACACTTCTCTAGGCCTATTTATTTATTACTGGTTCACTAACTGCAGCGTGAGTGTCAACACTAACTAGTGGCTGTCACAGTTTAGGTTGTGTTGTGACTGATTTTACGACTGTGCAGCAGGCACAACACGAACACAACCTATACTCCGCGCCAAAGCTGGTGGCGGCTGAGGGATTAGGACCGCCAGGTAGGACTACATAGGTCGGACCTGCTCACCGACCTGGCCGTCCTAATCCCTCAGCCGCCACCAGCTTTGGCGCGGAGTATAGGGGAGGAGTACTGGACTCGGACTGGCGCCGCGCGGTAGTTGGTAGTTGTGACTTGTGGGGATGGGAGTGGGACTTGGAGGGAGAGGAGGGGCACGTCAACCGTAGGCATGTAGACTACAGCTGGCCTAGGTGCTATTCCCGTAATTTGCTGACGTCACCCAAATTGCAAACAAAAAAATCAGCTGATGTATTGCTATATAAGTATATATTTGTTTTGATTTGATTTTTATTGTTTTTATAATTTTTCCCAATGGTAAAATGGTGTTTGAAATCTGAGTAACGTCAGCATACGACAGGAATAGCACACCTATGTATTTTCCTTCCTCCATGCAGGCCTACCGCCCTGCCTCTGATAGTATAGTGAGTGCGCCCGGTTCACACTGCTGTCTGCCTTTCCCTGACTACTTGAGGTAGGCCTATAACCTGAAGGTCGAGTATTTTCAATTTTGTTGTACTGTATTTATTTACTTTTGTAATGAGGGAAAATCACTTAACTACAAGTTGAAATCACCCATTTTATTTTTGAGATCCCGGTTGATAAAACCCTATTTTTCCTAGTGCGGCGGTGGTTCAGGACGCCCCTCGGGCGCCCCCCACACCACCGGCGCCCCTGGGCATATGCCCAGTCTGCCCGTTTATAAAAGTGGGCCTGCTTAGTCGGCAGGTTTGCTGCGGCGGGGTATTTAACTTATAGCTATAATTATAATATAATTTTCAACCAGAGATAAAATTAAATAAAAGATTTCAACTTAAATATTTTTTAATTTATGATCAACATATTAAAAGAAGTAGAAACAATCAAATTCCTAGAAATTATTATAGACCAAAATTTAAATTTCAACTCACATATTGAGCACTTATGTAAAAAACTTTCCCAAATTATTTTTATACTAAGACGATTGTCTATGTTCTGTAGTGAAGACACATTAATTACTTAATGTATATGATTCATTAATTATTTCCAGCATTAGATATGCAACTAGAGAACCCGTGCAGCTCAATGAGCCGCATAGTATGAAACATAACTCCGAGGAAAACGTTATGCTTAAATTTGAGTAATTCTAGTTACGTCTTAGAGTTGTTTAAACACTTGTTAGAAACTAATTTTAAATATCTCTATTTGCGTCGTAAAAGGTTCATCTACGTTATTTCTGCTCACAATGGGCTCGTTGGTTTTAACTGATAAATTCTAATGAATGCTAAACGATCTGCTTTAATTCGAATTAACATGTTACAACAAAGTTTTTCCAGCATTGAGAATTGAAGAAAACTGTTGCCTTACTGATAGCCTGTGTTAAGTAATTTAAGTTTGGGTCATTTTATTTCTTTGATTTGAGACTTCCCTCTAATCAAATATTATTCATCCCACCAAGTGAATTTGTATCTGGATGGGTATCTGTTAGACCAGGCCTCTCTTTTTCTATTCTCCTCATACGCATAAGATATCTTATTATTAATTGTCTCCTCCTCACGTTTTCAATATTTCTTCTTTGAACTTGAGGCATTTTCTGTTTTTCCAACAAAACTGATTAACTGTTTAACTTGGTCTTAACCTACTCAATATTACAAACATTAATATTTACTCTCAAAAAGCTAATGAGTTTCTTTTTATAAACAGCTGTTTTTTTGTTTTTAAATT